GCCGCGATGATCTCGGCCTCGTCGTAGCCTTGCCAGGCCTTGTTTCCTGACTTGTATTGCCTTATGATTTCTGCGAGCTTGTTTGTAGCGATTTCCTCGAGCTTCTTGACGGTTTGGGCGTTGGGGACGGGGACGTCATCGTCTTCTTGTGTGTTGCGCTTGGCTGCTGAGTCGGAGTCGGAGAGTATGGCATTGAGCTTTGTGGTGAGGAGCTTGAGGCCGTAGTAGCCGCGGAGGTAGGCGTCGTTGAGCTCGACGGAGCGGCAGAAGTGCTTTAGTGAGAGGGCGAGGGAGCTGAGGTTGGGTGGGTTGTTGGAGGCTGTGGAGAGGTAGTGTAGAGTCGCAATGTGTGCGTGAGCCTGGGCGCGGGTTAGTACACGTATGGCATCGTCGGGGCACTGTGGTACTCACACTCCATGCATTCGGCGTGATGAGCAGAACCTCCTCTGCGCAGTATATCGCCTGTCCCCACGCTGCCTGGCTCGCATACAGCTCGCTCGCCTCCGCCCATGCCTCGGAGTCGGTGGGGCTGTTCTTCAGGAGCACGGCCACGGCGGTGATGGCATCGGCGGTCCTGCCCAGCGCCTTGAGCACGGCAACCCTCCGCTTCCGGATGCTCATGTTGGTGGGGTCGTCGCGGAGTATCTTCTCATACGCCTCGAACACTTTCTCCAGCTCGGCGTCTGACCGGGCCGTTGCTTCGTTGTAGATGCCGCGCAATGTGATGATGCGCTCGTTGTGGTCGCCGAATCGGGCCTCGAGGCGCTGCAGAATTGACAGGGCGGCATTCTCGTCGCCGGTGCGGAGTGTCGACAGGAAGAGGTTCTCGTGGATGGTCCATGTTTCGGGTGTCTCGCGGGAGAAGAGCAGCGAGAGGGGCCACGGGAGCGTCGACGTTGGTGTTGTGGAGAGGACGAGGGGGGCTTTTTGGGACAGGGCGAGGGCGGTGGGCGGTGGTATTTGCGCGGGTGGAGAGAGGAGGTTGGCTTGTGTCATGCTGGCGGCTGCGGGCGTCGACTTGGGGTGTCGAGTGCGTGTCAATGGCGACAGAGTGTCTGGAGAAGCATGTCGAGTTAGGTAAGCTGATGGGGATGCCTGTCCCAAGCTTCCGCCGGCGAAACTAGCGGGCGTTCGGTAGTGGAGCCTCTGGACTCCAGGTGCACGTCAACAGCCTCGACCCGACAAGCAGTCGCTTTCCCTGCAGACGACCGACTAGAGCCCGCTTTCATGTCGCCAAACACGCCCGCCATGACGACCGCCTCCCAATGATGATGCCTAGTCGCCCACCACCTTCACCCTCACGCTGCACACCTACCCCTCCTCGCGCGCTTGCACACCTCGACACACGACTGCGTGACGCTGCCTGAGCCACGCCAAAATGTCGTGCCCGCCAAATCTCCATACAAGTGTCGTGACTAACAGTTCCCTAGGTTCGAGAAATCTCTCTTCGACCTCATTCGGGGCCTCCGAAACCACAAAGGCAGCGAGCGCGAGTACATCGCCGAGAGCATAAAAGAATGTCGCAAGGAAATACGGACCAACGACATGGACCTCAAGGCCACGGCCCTCATGAAGCTCACGTACCTCGAGATGTTCGGCCACGACATGTCTTGGGCCAGCTTCAACGTGCTCGAGGTCATGTCAAGCTCCAAGTTCAAGCAGAAGCGCACGGGTTACCTAGCCGCAGTACAGAGCTTTCGACGGGATACCGAAGTCCTCGTGCTCGCCGAGAACCAGCTCAAGAAGGACATCATGAGCTCGAGCCCCCAGTACATCGCCCTCCCGCTAGGCGCGATACCACACGTCATAAACCCGAGCATGGCCAACTCGGTCCTCTCCGACCTAATACCGCGCCTGACGCATTCGCACGCAATGGTCCGGAAGAAGACCGTCGTAACACTATACCGGCTGGCTCTTGTGTATCCAGAGACACTGCGACCCGCATGGCCTAAGATCAAGGAGCGCTTGCTAGATGACAATGAGGATGCGAGTGTCACAGCAGCAATCGTCAACGTCGTGTGCGAGCTGGGATGGAGGAGACCACAGGACTTCCTACCGCTTGCACCGAGACTATTCGATCTCTTGGTAGAAGGAGGCAACAACTGGATGGCCATTAAGCTCATCAAACTTGTAAGCACTGAGCTCAGAGGACATAACGCCAGAAATTCAACTGACCTGTCTTAGTTTGCAACATTAACTCCATTAGAACCTCGACTCATCAAGAAACTGCTACCTCCGTTGACCAAGATTATACGGGAGACGTCTGCTATGTCGTTACTTTACGAATGTATCAGTGGTATCATCCAGGGTGGTATCCTAGAAGCCGTAGAAGGCACTGCTGAAGGTGAGGAGGTAGCGAAGCTATGTGTTGGCAAACTACGAGGCATGATGATCATAGAGGGAGATGCAAACTGTAAGCTAATATACACTGTTATTCAACGTTTGGCTTCTCATCAGTCTGCAGTAAAATATGTCGCACTACTCGCGTTCGAGAAGATCGTCACCTCACATCCATACTTGGTTTCTCAGCAGCAAGACGTCATCCTCGAATGCATCGACGACCCCGATATCTCAATACGAATGCGAGCTTTGGATCTGGTGGTTGGCATGGTTAATGCAGACAACCTCACAGCGATTGTTGGACGGCTGATGCGACAGCTACGAAATGCACCAATTGCCTCAGCGGCGAGCGATCCCAACAATGATCGAGGTAGGCTGACTGGCATATCACCTTATGGTGACGACGACTCCGACGCAGAAGAGAATCTGCCTCAGCACGAACAGAAATCCGACCAGCCACCACCACTGCCAGACGACTATAGGATAAGCGTCATTCGGAGGATCCTGGAGATGTGTTCACGCGATACTTACAGCAACATTGCCGACTTCGAATGGTACATTGATGTACTTACTCAGCTAGTCAGGGTATCACCAGCAACAAAAGCAACCTCGGTTATGGAAGAGGAGGAAGAAATAGAACATTCAGACGACATTGGTGGTGGCATCGGACACGAATTGCAGAACGTTGCCATTCGGGTGAAGAGCGTTCGATCAGAAGCTATAGATGCCGCACAGTCGCTCGTGCTCGTTGATCGGAGAGACCAAATGTTCCCAGCATCCGGAAACGGCGGCCAAGGTGTACTGGAATACGCTGGCTGGCTGGTTGGAGAGTACGCCAACTACCTCACCCGCCCAGAGCCAGTCATGACCTCTCTGCTACACCCATCTTCTCTCCAACTATCTTCGAGGACGCTCGCTGTATATCTGCAAGCGATACCCAAGGTCTTCTCTAGCATGGCTGGAAACGATCAAGTCTCATGGACTCCAGAGCGCAAAACGCTCATGTCCCTTCTCATGGCACGTATTATCCACTTTTTAGAGCCGCTCTCCACACACCCTAGTCTGGAAGTCCAGGAACGGGCAGTTGAGTACCTTGAACTCATGCGTCTCGCTGCAGAAGCTGCATCAGGCACAGCTGCTAGCGCGGACCAGGACGCATTCACCGATCCACCGCTACTACTTACCCAAGCTATACCTGCCCTCTTTTCTGGCGCTGAGCTTAACCCGGTCGCTCCTGGTGCTCAACGCAAGGTTCCTTTACCTAAAGATCTGGATCTGGATACACCAATCAACCCCAACCTACAGCATTTGCTCTACACAGCTGATGCAGAAGGCTTTGAGACAGAGGAAGATGATGTATATGCGGCTTATTCGGAGCCTGCAGCCGCGTACTCAGAGCCTCCTGCTGTTGCTACACCGGCTGCGGATCGCCTGGATGCCCCGCATAAAGAACCTACATCATACCAAAACGCAGCGGAGGATGAATATCTGGACGCTGATATCATTGCGCGTCGGAAAGCTGAAAGAAAAGAACGCTACAAAGATGATCCGTTCTACATCGACCCCGAAGCGGATAAGGGCAGCGGCGCAGTCACACCACTGAGTAGGATAGTGCGAGATGGCAATAGGGAGAATAACGAGCTCGACATCGATTCGATTCCAATTATGGAGCTCAACCTAGACAGCAAAGGGTCATCGTCTGAACATCTACCGCGATCGCGGAGTCCGCGCAAGCCTGTGCGCAAAGTCGACATCATGGGCGATGAGACACTTGGACCTGCTGCACCAGACGCTTCGAGAGATGACATCGTGCAACCACGTCCAGGGAAGACAAAAAAATCGCTGTTGCAGGTGGACAGCTCCGGTCTTGGGTCATTGAGCTTGGATGACGAAGGCATATCAAATCGCAAGCTCACTCAACTCGAAGTCGAGAGGAAGGCCCAGGAAGACGCGGAGATGAAGAAGGCGCTCCAGGAAGTCGAGCGACTACGGCTTGAAATGCAGCGAGCGAGCGAGAGATTACACGTCAAAGAAGAAGTTGCCGTCAAGAAAAAGAAGAGAAAGGTCAGAAAGGTTGCTGTGGAAGGAGACGAGCCAGCCGAAACGCCTCCACCGGAAGCGGAAGTTGGTGAAGAGGAAAAAGCAGCGCCTATCAAGAAGAAGAAAAAGAAGAAGGTCAAGCCTGAGGGCCAAGACGAGAACGCAGCCGAAGGCGCAGCTGAGGGCGAGGAAGAAGGCAAAGTCAAGAAGAAGAAAAAGAAGAGGCGGACTGTGGTCATGGATGAGGGTGCCGATGCACCGGAGGAGTAGTAGCCTAGGCACGCTGCAGATGGGTGTCTGAGTCTTGGACAAATGTGATATCAAATGCTCAATGGTAATTTGCTACCACAAAATCGGCTATACCAAGTCCCCTTGATGCCGCAACGATGCCTCTATAACGCCGTATGCCCTATGTAGTTGACGCAAGAAAGTGGCCTCAAAGCCAAGTTGCTCCTCCAAGCTGTTCCCAACTTCTCCCTTTTATCCGCTCTCCCAGCATATATGTGTGCTTTGTGTTATTTCTCCACGTATGGAAGATCGAAATCGAAATCGAAATCAAGTTCAAGTCGTATCCGTCCGGTAATCGATCGCATCGCATCGCGTCGCATGACCCCAGCTTTCTAAAAGAAGAGCTTAAGGACCTCGAAGAGCAGACCGCCGACTAGTATGAAAGCAAGAACAACTGTGGGACACTAGTCAGTACATGTCCTTACAAGATCTAACAATATAGACCACGGGGCGAGAAGAACGTACTGATCCAGAACCTGCTAATGGGGCTCTTCTGAGGCGCCCTCTTCTTGACCACGGGCTCCGTTGACTCGGGCTTGCCCATCTTCTTCTCCTGCGCCTTGGCGAAACGCATGTTTGCCTGGCGTTGTTGTGGTGTTTGCGCCTGCAGGATTGGCGGCGGTGGTTAGCTACCTATTCCATCTGTTGTGTGTATGCGACAAAAGGAGGGAGAGCCGCTCCATTGCGCCGCGAAGGGGGTAGTGTCGTACCATTATGATGTGTGTTTGTGTACGTGAAACGAGTAGGTGGCTGTAAATCGCGCGGACCAGGAAGGTTACGGGAAAAAGGAAGCGAGCGTCTAGTGTCTGGTAAGAGGGGAGAAGAGAAGCGGAAATGAGGGTTCAAGATGTATGGTGAACGTGTTCCCTTTGGAAAGTGCATCGCGTGGGTCTGTGCGGCGGCGCTAGGGTACCGGCATTAGCTGGATTCGCGGAGATAGTGGACGGAGGTTTATACCGTTTTCTGTCGGGAGACTTTTGTCGCATCTGCGCTTCTTTGCACGTGGAGAGCTCTACCACCGTCGGCGCAATAGTCTGTGTCGCATTTTCGCAAACAAATTAACGTCATACTTTACGTTCTTCGACACCTCCCCTCGCGCAGTACCTGGCTACCTTGCAGCGGCGACCGAACGAGCTCAGAAGCGGGGACAAAAGTTGGCAGCTTTACGACACCATGAATCACATCAGAGCAACACGGTCGATATGGAGTAGAAGCGCGATACCCAATCGCATAGGCCATACGTCCCGAAGAACATACGCAGCCGAAACACCAGCACCGCATCCCCCCAGCTCGCCGCCAAACCCAAACTCAGCACCGCCGCCAAAAGAGCCATCGCGGGTAGTACGTCATACCCTAACAACCACCTTCCCTCTATCCTCTTTACTAACGAGCCCCCCACAGGGCGCATACTACGGCACCTTCGGCTCGCCCCTCCTAAAATGCTTCCTCGGCGCCCTTTTCACATACCAACTCACCTACTACCTGTGGTACAAACTCGAAACCATCGGAGAGACACACGACACAAAAGCCGAGATACGCGATTTGCAAGAGGAGCTCCGGCAGGCGATTGAGAAACAGCGGTGGATGGCGCAGCAGAAGTGGGGGCAGGCTACTGAGGCGATGGAGAGGGAGAGGGAGGAGTTTGGGCAAGCGGTTGATGCGGTTGTGGAGGAGGTTAGGGAGGGGGCTGATGAGGTGGGGAAGGGGACGAGGGCTGTGGGGAGAGTTGCTAGAGGGGGTTGGTGGCCTTGGTGAGGGTGGTTATTTTGGTGCGTGGATGCTGGTGTGTTGGGTCAGAGGGTTTGAGGCTTCATGGAGGGCATTTGTATAATATGATGATATGTATATCAGATGGATGGATGATACCCCTCAGAAATACATTATTCCTACATTCAATTGGTTGTCGCCGGTTGATCTGCCTCTCTGCTCATTCCCATGTGCTACGCTATCTTTCTTTGTAATATCGCACCAGCCTGATATTCGCGCCAAGTTTCTTTCGAGCCTTACGTCGATGGAACTCTCGTCTTTCAGGTCCTTAGATTAGCCAGTCTACCGATTCTCCCATACTCGGCGTCGAGGGCGTGCAGTCGACGGACGCCATTCTTGCACTGACTCTACATGGGCAACGCAAGCCTCATTGCCCGAAATCAATTCCATCAATCCACCAGACGGCCATGCTGTCGGGTTCTTTGCTCTCTCGACTTATATATATGAGATTGACATGACTCCAGTATTACTAGCACTCGGTGGATCCTCGTCGTAGTCATCGCATCGATTCGTAGACCCTAGTTGGCAATGCAAAATCTCTTCACAATGGTATTCTCAACCGAAGAACTCGCCAGATACGAGCGACTCCCACGGCTTACCGGTATCCCAGACGCTCTTCATGAGCGTACTGATCTTGGGCACCTAATACGGAGTAAGCAAGTCAGCCTTTACTTTCTGACAACAGGAGCTTACATGGTTCAGTCCGAAGCCCTCCACGCTCCTCAGCCGCTCAATGATCTTCTCCCTCTGTCCTTCATCTTGCGCATCGCAGCCAGCAGCAAACATGGGAAAGATCAAACATGCCTCTGCTGTGCTGCCTCTCCGGATCTTGTACAGTAGGCCCACAATCTCTCGCACGGCTTGCTGAACTTCGTGGTCCATGACGGGTTTTCCGAGAACGCGACGATACAAGTGGATTAGACCCGCCCAGTGGAATAATTCGTTGGTCGCGTAGATCTCGGTTGCATCCCATGCACCTTCAGACTCAGAGGAAGTACTCGAGCGGTGGTTGCATCCTTTCCTGATGTTGCGGCCCAGTAAACCTTCCTCCAGTGCGTGACGAAGCTCAACAGCTTCCTCTACAATCTCAGGGCTAGGAGTCCAGCCCTCCCTCACATTGCCTTCTTCGTCGATGCGCTGCGGCTCACAGCGCTTCGCTAGTTCAGAAACGCGAGCCAAAGATCCTACACATCTTGTTGTAAAGCCCATTAGACAATCAATCTCAAAATCTTCGTCCGCGGAAGCGTTTTCGCTAGACCAGTAGAAAGAGCCAAGAGGTGTGTCGTTCTTATTCCCACTCAATGAGCCGAGGACGTCGAGGTATGCGAACCAGCGCGAAAGGAAATAGGCCACACGATCATGCCGCCCCATGCCCTTTGGTCCGCCACGCTGGATGATCATCTGGCGTGCCATGGTTAGATGGCTTTGCCAGGATACGGGTACCTCGAATGTTCCAGAAGATATAACCTCCAGACTCGCCATCATTATCACTGCTGCTAAAGTACTGTCGGTTACAGTGTTGGGATCATCGTTGAGCGCTTCACGTAGCTTGGGGAACACGTCTTGCACCCAAACGGCGATGCGATTTGAGGGCTCGGGGTGATTGAGCATGCGTGCTCGGTGTGCCGCGCTATATGCGAGAAGAAGATTCATTATGTTCTCGTCTTGTACAGCCACTGCCACTGTTAACAATGATCCATGAAGATTAACGTTTACCTACTTTCTGGTAAAATCTCACGAAACGGATTCCGCTCGCAGTCATGGTTGACAAGAACCCGCGCTGTGTGATTGATGAAGTGATGGAAGTACAGGAGATTCATCTGGTTCTCTACGAGCAGTGAAGGCAGTGGTTCTAAAGACTTCGAAATCCTGATCGGAACTGGTTTTGCATAATAACCCCCGCTTTCGAAGGCCATGTCTTTGCCGTGAGGATCAGCGCTACCATACGGTGTGTCCTCGTTAAACCCCATGGTGTTGCTTTGTGGGCTGAAGATGGCAATAGCAGAAAAGTCGTCATTCCTCGGAGTATCGATATCAGGGAGACCCAAGTCGTATCCGTAGGTGGTGAAAGCAGAATCAGCAATTGGATATTGTCGACCACGTCCGACCTCGTCACCAGCCGGCCGTGATCGCTTTCTTGGAAGATCATTGATCAGAGACTGGACAGACACACGACGGAGATCTGGCGGTGATTGTGCTGAATTTTGCGGTGTTGATGACGTTTGCATAATGTTTCCTTCAGAGCCAATTGACATCGGTGTTAGCGGCATAGCCGAGTATGGACTGTATGGCGTTGGTGAAAGTGTGTTTGGCGAATTTGTGTCTGGGAACGTTGGTGTGTTCGAGTCTGTAGAGAAGCCATACTGCTGGCGTTTGGCCATCGAATCCATTGAACCAGGCAGTGGCGGCGGCATCGTAGGATTGGCATATGTGAACCCAGCGTTACGGGAATTGGGGGCACCCGAATCATATGTGACATGCGACCGGGTGTCAACAGTACTCTGATACTGTGTATGGTTGTAGGGAACGGACGTGAACGTTTGGTTTTGAAGGTAGATGTCCGCACCCGACGCTTCAGTACGGATGGCATCATGCGGCTTTTGCATCAAAGCTGGATCAATGGAATGCGTAGATCTAGGTGGGGATGTTCTTGATGTTGATCGTGCATGTTGTGATTGCACGGGGTGTTCGGGGGCAGACGAGAAAACGTTCTCTTCAAATGGGAAGGAGGACTGGTACGGACTGCCAGACGCTGCACTCGAAGCATCAGAGGCTGCACTTGTCTTATCTTTCTTTGAACGGCCTCCCCAGTTGAGTCTTATGCTGTAGTCGCATGTTTCCCCTTGGCGCTCGCAGTTGGTACAGCTTGGCTTTTCTTCTCCACTGTGAGATGCTATTAGTACTCTCTGACGAGACCACGATTAGAATTGCTTTACCATTTGACCTTTCGAGCTTTACACGGCCTGTGTTTGGTGAGTAAGAATGAACAGACTCCATTGATCTAGGATAATACCAGCAGCCATTTCGCGATCTTCTTTTAGGTTCTACCCCGGGTTTCTTTGGTCGAGGCATGGCGTTTTAGATTGACAGGGAAAGCAAAGATAGTGCAGATGATGACTGAAGCTGATGCTCGCGCGGCTGGTGAACGCCACGCTAAGACTATGCCATACGGGGCCGACTCGGCAGGCTGGGGTAGCCTTTGGGCGACGAGCAGCAGTGCACCGGGGTGCCGGGTACTAAGGTGTTGGGTTGGTTGCACTGCATGCGTTCACCTAGCGCGCTCTAACGAGCGACAGGACGGTTGCCGCGATGAGGGTCTGTATACGATCGCTTATATAAGGTTGCAAGGTCCGACAGCAGCCCTGGAGTTGTTCCGTCCGAAGTAGGGATTTAATCGGAGAAGGAGCGATAAGGACCCCCGCACTTTGCAGCGCCTCCAATCATGACCCTGGAATCCGATGCTTCACGCGCTAAGTGGGCCAGACACAAGTTCGGCAAGATCGACACCGGATCAACTTTTGTGACCCTGATGCTAGTCTTGTGGGCTTCGCGCTTGAACTTAGGGTCTTCTCACGAGTAACTCTGGTTAGGTACGGATGTATATCAGCAATCACTATCCTGTTGAGGTCTGATTTTGATTATACTGGGCTTGGAAGGCCTTTGTACGGCAATGTCTTGCCTACACGTATATCAGCCCTTCCCTATGCTACTAGCAGCCATAGGAGCATGTGGTCGTTACTGCTAGCGCTCGTTACTGGAGACTGCTCTCAGAGTAGATGCTTCTGACATTGCCCGAATGGTAGAATC